TATTTTATTATATATATAATCATATTATTTTATATTTATTATTTTAGTATTGTTTTATATTTATTGGTTTAGTATTATTTTATATTTAGTATGATATTATTTTATTATATATATAATCATATTATTTTATATTTATTATTTTAGTATTGTTTTATATTTATTGGTTTAGAATTATTTTATATTTGGGTATTATATTATTTTATTATATATATATAATCATATTATTTTATATTTATTATTTTAGTATTGTTTTATATTTATTGATTTAGTATTATTTTATATTTGGTATTATATTATTTTATATATAGTATTATTCTATTGTTTTATATTTAGTATTTGACTATTGTATTATTTTATATTTAGTATTATATTATTATATATATAATCATATTATTTATTTATTATTTTAGTATTGTTTCATACTTTGTATTCTTTTATTATTCTATTATGATTTTATATATAGTATTATACTATTATTTTATATGTGTTAGTTTAGAATTATTTCCTATGTAGAGGCTGCCTGGGGGACGATGGGCATTGTAGTCCCACCTTCCTCCTTTCCTCATTCCCATCCTTGTCTTTTCAGGCTGACCCAGGTCTATGTCATGATCTTCATCCCAGCCCTTCCCGTACGTTTGCAAAAAGAGATATTATATTGCATGACATTCGTATAGTATATTATATTATATTATATTATATTATATTATTCTATTATTATATTACATTATTGGTACATTATATTCCATTATATTCTGATATTATATCCTGATATTCTATTATTCTAAATATTATTATATATTATAATATTATATTCTATAGATTAGGGGTGGACTATACATCCCATTTCCTACAACTTTGATGTACCTGACACATTAACCCTTTCCCTTCCTTGCAGGCTTCCTTCCTTTTTCAGATCCAGACGCGATATTTGCAGAACCAGGTCAGTCGCTCCCTTGCTTCGTCCGGTTTAAGGAAAGTTTTCCATTATTTGGGAACGAGGAAGGAAACTATCTCTTGATCTCGATCTATTTCAGAGGATCATTTGGCCGGAAGTCCTTTGTGGAATCGCCGGGAACGTCATCAACTTACTTGCAAACTATATCTTCCTTTACCAGCTTGAGATGGGAGTCAGGTCGGCCTGCCTTTCTCCATCCGTTCTGTTATTTTAGTTCCAATTCATTTTTAATTATTTTTAATAGTACAATTAATTAATATTTTAATATATGTTAATTAATATATTAATGCTATAATTAATTTTAATTGTTAGTTTAGTATTATATTTAGTATTACACATATATAAATTATATATATATCATTATCTTACTATTTTATATTTATTATTTTAGCATTCTGTTATATTTTATATTGTATTGTTATTTTACATTTAGTGTTTTTTATATTTATATATATATAAATATATCATTATCTTACTATTTTATGTTTGTTATTTTAGTATTCTGTTATATTAATATTATATATTGTTATTTTACATTTAGTGTCATATATATAATTATCTTACTAATATTTATTATTTTAGTATTCTATTTAATATTATATTATATTATTGTTATTTTACATTTAGTGTCATACATATATCATTATCTTACTATTTAATATTTATTATTTTAATATTCTGTTATATTTAGTATTATTATTATTTTATATTTAATTTAATATGATTATTTTATATTTATTATTTTAGTATTCTGTTATATTTATTATTATATTATTATGTTATTATTTTATATTTAGTATATATATCATTATCTTATTTTTATATTTATTGTTTTAGTATTCTGTTATATTTAGTATTATATTATTATTTTATATTTAGTATGCATATATATTATCTTATTGTTATATTTATTATTTTAGTATTCTGTTATATTTAGTATTATTATTATTTTATTTTTAGTTTAATACTATCATTTTATATTTATTATTTTAGTATTCTGTTATATTTAGTATTATATTATTATTTTATTATTTTATATTTAGTGTATATATCATTAACTTATTGTTTTATAATTATTATTTTAGTATTCTGTTATATTTAGTAGTATTAATATTATCTTATTTTATATTTAGTATATATATCATTATCTTATTATTTTATATTTATTATTTTAGTATTCTGTTATATTTAGTATTATGTTATTATTTTATATTTAGTATGTATATAGATCATTATCTTATTATTTTATATTTATTATTTTAGCATTCTATTTAGTATTATAGTATTATTTTATATTTCTAAGTTTAGTATTATTTTATATTTAATATTATATATATATAATTTTCTATTTATTAGTTTAGTATTGTTTTATATTTTTATTGTTATTTTATATTTTGTATTATAATACTAATATATTTATTAGTTTAGTATTTTTATATTATTTTTATATTTATTATTTAAGTATTGTGTCGTATATAGTATTATATTATTATTTAATATTTATGTATTAATTTAGTATGGTGTTATATTTAGTATTACATAATTATTATTATTATTATTTAATAGTATATTAAATTTGTGTATTGTCGAAGGCTTTCATGGCTGGAATCACTAGGTTCTTGTGGGTTTTTTTCGGGCTATATGGCCATGTTCTAGAGGCATTTCTCCTGACGTTTCGCCTGCATCTATGGCAAGCATCCTCAGAGGTAGTGAGGTCTGTTGGAATTAGGACAAAGGGTTTATATATCTGTGGAATGGCTGGGGTGGGGCAAGGAGCTCTTCCCTGCTGCAGTTAGGTGTGAATGTTTAGCTGATCACCTTCATTAGCATTTGAAGGCCTGCCTGAGCCTGGGAAAATCTGTTGCTGGGAGGTGTTAATCTGTGCCTGGTTTTTTCCTCTCTGTTGTTTAGCTGTTATAATTTTAGAGTTTTTAATACTGGTAGCCAGATTTTGTTCATTTTCATGGTCCTTCCTTTCTGTTGAAATTGTCCACATGCTTCTTGTGGATTTCAATGGCTTCTCTGTGTAGCCTGAGATGGTGGTTGTGAGAGTGGTCCAGCATTTCTGTGTTCTCAAATAATATGCTGTGTCCAGGCTGGTTCATCAGGTGCTCTGCTATGGCTGATTTCTCTGGTTGAAGGAGTCTGTAGTGCCTTTCATGTTCCTTGATGCGTGTTTGGGCAATGCTGCGTTTGGTGGTCCCTCTGTAGACTTGTCCACAGCTGCATGGTATACATGGTAGACTCCTGCAGAGGTGAGAGGATCCCTCTTGTCCTTTGCTGAACGTAGCATTTGTTGGATTTTCTTGGTGGGTTTGTAGATTGTTTGTATGTTGTGTTTCCTCATCAGCTTCCCTCTGCGGTCAGTGGTTCCCTTGATGTCTGGCAGGAACACTTTTCCTCTGGGTGGGTCTTCATCTTGACTCTCGTGGCTTGTTCTTGGTCTTGCAGCTCTTCTGATGTCTGAGGTGGAGTCTCCATTGGCCTGGAGAGCCCAGTTGAGGGGGTTCAGTTCATCTTGGAGGAGGTGGGCTTCGCAGATTCTTTTTGCACGGTCTGCCAAGGCTTTAATGGGGCTTCTTTTTTGACTTGGGTGATGGTTGGAGTTTTTATGTAGATATCACACATCTGTGTGTGGGTTTTCTGTAGACGGTGTGACCCAATTGTTGATCTGGTTTGCGGATGACTAGGACATCTAGAAAAGGCAGTCTTCCTTCATTTTCTTTTTCCATGGTGAATTGGATGTTTGGGTGGATGCTGTTAAGATGGTCCAGGAACCTGTTGAGTTCTTCTTCTCCATGGCTCCAAATGGTGAAGGTGTCATCCACATATCTGAACCATATCGTGGGCTTTTTGGTTGCTGTTTCCAGGGCTTGTTCTTCAAAGTGTTCCATGTAGAAGTTAGCTATGACCGGGCTGAGAGGGCTCCCCATAGCTACTCCATCTTTCTGTTCGTAGAATTCATTGTCCCACTGAAAGTAACTGGTGGTAAGGCAATGGTGAAACAGAGCCGTGATGTCTTCTGGGAACCTCTGGTTGGTGAGTGCCATGGTGTCTGCTACCGGGACCATGGTAAATAGAGATACCACATCAAAGCTGATCAGTTTGTCGTTTGTATTTAGCTTGAGATTGCTGATTTTTTCTATGAAGTGGGCTGAGTCCTTGATGAGTGTGTAGTGAGCCCAATATGGCTTTGTAACTGTGCAGCAAGAAATTTTGCTAGGTCGTATGTGGGGGATCCAATGGCATTCACGATGGGTCTGAGTGGGGTGGAGTCCTTATGGATTTTTGGGAGTCCATAAAGCCTGGGTGGATGGGCTTCCGATTTACATAGCTGTTGTCGTATGTCAAAGTTTATGGAGGAGTTCTTAATCAGGGTGTTGGTTTTCTTGGTTATTTTGGCAGTTGGGTCTTGTCTGACAATGGAAAAGGAAAATGAAGGAAGACTGCCTTTTCTAGATGTCCTAGTCATCCGCAAACCAGATCAACAATTGGGTCACACCGTCTACAGAAAACCCACACACACAGATAGATATCTACATAAAAACTCCAACCATCACCCAAGTCAAAAAAGAAGCCCCATGAAAGCCTTGGCAGACCGTGCAAAAAGAATCTGTGAACCCCACCTCCTCCAAGATGAACTGAACCCCCTCAACTGGGCTCTCCAGGCCAAGGGAGACTCCACCTCAGACATCAGAAGAGCTGCAAGACCAAGAACAAGCCACGAGAGTAAAGACGAAGATCCACCCAGAGGGAAAGTGTTCCTGCCATACATCAAGGGAACCACTGACCGCAGAGGGAAGCTGATGAGGAAACACAACATACAAACAATCTACAAACCCACCAAGAAAATCCAACAAATGCTACGTTCAGCAAAGGACAAGAGGGATCCTCTCACCTCTGCAGGAGTCTACCATTGTATACCATGCAGCTGTGGACAAGTCTACATAGGGACCACCAAACGCAGCATTGCCCAGACACGCATCAAGGAACATGAAAGGCACTGCAGACTACTTCAACCAGAGAAGTCAGCCATAGCAGAGCACCTGATGAACCAACCTGGACACAGCATATTATTTGAGAACACAGAAATGCTGGACCACTCCAACAACCACCATGCAAGACTACACAGAGAAGCCATTGAAATCCACAAGCATGTGGACAATTTCAACAGAAAGGAAGAGACCATGAAAATGAACAAAATCTGGCTACCAGTATTAAAAAACTCTAAAATTATAACAGCTAAACAACAGGGAGGAAAAAACCAGGCACAGATTAACACCTCCCAGCAACAGATTTTCCCAGGCTCAGGCAGGCCTTCAAATGCTAATGAAGGTGATCAGCTAAACATTCACAGCTAACTGCAGCAGGGAAGAGCTCCTTGCCCCACCCCAGCCATTCCACAGATATATAACCCCATTTTCCTATTTCCAACAGACCTCACTACCTCTGAGGATGCTTGCCATAGATGCAGGCGAAACGTCAGGAGAAATGCCTCTAGAACATGGCCATATAGCCCAAAAAAACCCACAAGAACCTATTAAATGTGTGTTTAATGTGCAATCCCCCCATCTACCACTAGGGGCTCTGCTTGGGCCAACACCATTGCTCAGTATTCCCAGGCTGGCTCCCTTTTCCTATACATTCGATGGAAGAAGCTCCATGTGGAAACCTGGGGAGGTATATGATATTATTATTATATTATTATATATTTTATGTTATTGTTTTATTCTATATTCCCTTTTTTATGCAATATTTTAATTTTGATACTATATTATATTTTTTGATATTATATTATAGATTATTTGATGTTGCTATTATATTTTATATTTAATTCTATATTATTTCATTTTATTCTTATATTATATAATATATTTATTTATTTCATTATTTATTATTATGCAATATTTTTATTTTGCTTCCTTTTTAATATTCATTATTTTATTTCATTACTTAATTTTATTAGATTATTTTATGTTATAATATATATATATATCATTATTTTATATTATGTTATACAATATTTTTTATTTTGTTTCCTTTTTTATATTAATTATTTTATTTCATTACTTAATTTTATCGTATTATTTTATGTTATATTACCTTATTATAATGTTATATTTCAGTTAATTATTTTATATACTACATTTTTTATTGTATTGCATTTTACACTTAATTTAATTTCATATTATTATCTCATATTAAATTTTATCTTATATTTATCTTATATTTCATATTTTATTATTCCATATTCCATTGTTATTTTATATCTTATTATTTTACATTATATATATTTTATATTATATTTCATATTTTATTATTCCATATTCCATTATTATTTTATCTTATTATTTTACGTTATATTTTATATTTTGCGTTGTATTACATTTTAATATTATATTGTATTTTAAGCCGAATTTAAAATTATATTATTATCTCATATTACGTTTTATCAGATTTATTTTATATTCTATTTCATATTGTATTATTTAATATTCCATTTTAATTTTATGTCTTATTATTTTACATATTTAATGTTATATTTTATATTTTACGTTGTATCGCATTTTTATATTATACTGTATTTTAAACATTATTTAATTTATATAAAGTAATATAAAATGCAATCATATCACATTTTATATTATATATACATTATTTATTTATTATATTATATATATTATATATTATTTTATATTTAATTTTATATTTTTATTTTATATTTAATGCCCTATCTTATTACATATACATTATCTTAATTATATATACATTATTTATTAATCATATTATATTATATATTATTTTATATTGTTATTTTATATTTAATGCCCTATCTTATTAAATATTATATTATATATTATTTTATATTTAATTTTATATTTTTATTTTATATTTAATGCCCTATCTTATTATATATACATTATCTTAATTATATATACATTATTAATTAATCATATTATTTATTATATTTATTTATTTTATATTTATTTTATATTTATATTTTATATTTATATTTTATTATTATATTTTATTATATTTTATTTTATATTTTATTTTATATTTATTTTATATTATATATATTTCTTAATTTATCTATTATTTATTATATTATTTAAATTATATAATATATTGTTTTATATTTAATTTTATATTTTTATTTTATATTTAATGCCCTAACTTATTATATATACATTATCTTAATTATATATACATTATTAATTAATTATATATTATATATTATATTGTATATTATTTTATATTTAATTTATATTTTTATTTTATATTTAATGTTCTATCTTATTTTGCATAATAGATTTAATTGTGTATTTAAACTTTGTTACTTTATTCTAACTTTTACTATATTGTATTATTTTATATTTTGTTTTATAGTCCATTTTATATTATTTTATATGACTTTGTGATTAATCGGGCCATCCTATATCTCGTTTTCCGCCTCCTAGGGTGGTCCTACGAATGCCTCAAGGAGTGGGACGTCTTCATGTCGCTGGCCGTGCCCAGCATGCTGATGACCTGCATTGAGTGGTGGACCTTCGAAATCGGAAGCTTCCTGATTGGTCAGTGAAGGCAGGAGGCGGAGCCACGGGGATGGTGGGCGGAGCCAAGGCTAAGCCCCTCCTACTCTTTCCCGCTAGGTCTCTTGAGTGTCCTCCAATTGTCGGCACAATCCATCATTTACGAAGTGGCCACTGTGGCTTATATGGTGAGGAACGGCTCTCGTATTATAATTTATTCTAAATAATATGATTATATATACACACACATATATGTATATATATATAGGATGTGTGACCATAAAAAAAATTCAAAAGTCATTACAAAACTGGGGGATGCTGGCATTTAATTTATAAAGTCCACAATGCAGATACTCTTACTTACTTTAGTCCTCTTTGCAGACACTATTACTTACTTACTTTAGTCCTCTTTGTAGATGCTATTACTTACTTATTTTAGTCCTCTTTGTAGATACTCTTACTTTCTTTAGTCCTCTTTCCAGATACTCATACTAACTTACCTTAGTCCTTAGCCCTTAGAGAAACCCTAATAAGAATCTTTATTGCAACAGAAATATCACAAAGAAAGAATAAGCTTATGCCTGAAGCAATCTGTTAAGGAAAGAAACACAGTTTGAAGAACAATAAGTTTAAAACCTGTTTAGTGGAAGGAATAGTCCTTCTAAGAATTGTTTATGAAATGTTATAAATGCAACCTCTGAAGATATGTGCCTCTAAGAGTTAAGAAACATTGAAACCATCAAGCTTCTTCTACATTCAATAAAATTGTTACAGTTTCTTCTAAAGCCAGGTCTCTGTTACAAATACTTTCCAAGTTAAGTCACACTACACATTGAAGAAAAACCAAATCAATATTACTAGCTATTTGCTACGCTATCAATTTAATAAGTCTTCACAAAGCGGTGGCTTCGTCACAAATTGGTGGCATCTTTACAATACTCTTACTTACTTTAGTCCTCTTTGTAGATACTCTTACTTCCTTTAGTCCTCTTTGCAGATATTCTTACTTACTTTATTCCTCTTTGTAGATACTCTTACTTCCTTTAGTCCTCTTTGCAGATATTCTTACTTACTTTAGTCCTCTTTGTAGATACTCTTACTTACTTTAGTCCTCTTTGCAGATACTCTTACTTTCCTTAGTCCTCTTTGCAGATATTTTTACTTACTTTAGTCCTCTGCAGATACTCTTACTTACTTTAGTCCTCTTTGCAGATACTCTTACTTACTTACTTTAGTCCTCTTACTTATTGTAGTCTTCATTGTAGATACTTTAGTCCTCTTTGCAGGTACTCTTACTTACTTTAGTCCTCTTTGCAGATACTCTTACTTTCCTTAGTCCTCTTTGCAGATATTTTTATTTATTATTTATTTATTATTTATTTATTTCTTGCACTTATAGACCGCCACTCTCAGCCCAGGGGCGACTCGTGGCGGTGTACAACAACATAGAAAAGACAGCTTACAATAAATCAACAATACACAACGTTCTACTACTACAAACACTACTATACTAAAAATCCGCTTCGTCAAATCATAGGGTCAATCCATCTCATAATCACAGTCCATTCCGGTCGTCAATTCCAGTAACCTAGCACTCAATTGAAGGCCATCTCGAAGAGCCATGTTTTCAGGCCCTTACGAAAGGCCATAAGGGAAGGCGCCTGTCTAACTTCAGCAGGGAGGGTGTTCCAAAGCCGGGGGGCCACCACCGAGAAGGCCCGCTCTCTCGTCCCCGCCAAACGTGCCTGTGAGGCAGGCGGGACTGAGAGAAGGGCCTCCCCAGATGATCTCAAGGTCCTCGTGGGCTCGTAGGCCGAGATGCGGTCCGCAAGGTATTTTGGGCCGGAACCGTTTAGGGCTTTGTAGGATAATACCAGCACCTTAAATTGGGCCCGGTAGCAGATCGGCAGCCAGTGGAGCTGGGACAGCAGGGGCGTTGTATGCTCCCTGCGCCCTGCTCCCGTTAACAACATGGCTGCCGCGCGCTGGACTAGCTGAAGCTTCCGGGCCGTCTTCAAGGGCAGCCCCACGTAGAGAGCGTTGCAGTAGTCAAGTCGGGATGTGACCAAAGCGTGTACCACCGTGGCCAAGTCAGACTTCCCAAGATACGGGCGCAGCTGCGCACGAGCCTAAGCTGTGCAAATGCTCCCCTGGTCACCGCTGAAACCTGGGGATCCAGGCTCAAGATGAATCCAGGGTCACACCCAAGCTGCGAACCGGCGCCTTCAAGGGGAGTGCGACCCCGTCCAGCACAGGCTGTAACCCTATACCCTGTTCGGCCTTGCGACTGACCAGGAGTACCTCTGTCTTGTCTGGATTTAATTTCAGTTTGTTCGCCCTCATCCAGACCATTACAGCGGCCAGGCACCGGTTCAGGACCTTGACAGCCTCCTTAGTAGCAGGTGGAAAGGAGTGACAGAGTTGGACATCATCTGCGTACAGATGACACCGCACCCCGAAACTCCGGATGATCTCACCCAGCGGCTTCATGTAGATATTAAACAGCATGGGGGACAGTATAGAACCCTGAGGAACCCCACAGGTCAAAGGCTGTGGTGTTGAACAGGAGTCCCCCAATAACACCTTCTGGGTACGACCCTCCAGAAATGACCGGAGCCACTGCAAAGCAGTGCCCCCAAGACCCATCTCTGCAAGGCGCCCCAGAAGAATACCGTGGTTGACGGTATCGAAGGCCGCTGAGAGGTCCAGGAGCACCAACAGGGACACACTCCCCCTGTCTAGCTCCCGGCGCAGATCATCCACTAAGGCGACCAAGACCGTCTCGGTACCATGTCCCGGTCTGAAACCAGACTGTGCCGAATCCAGATAATCCGTGTCTCTCAAGAATACCTGGAGTTGTGAGGCCACCACGCTTTCCATGACTTTGCCCAAAAAAGGGAGATTGGAAACAGGCCGAAAGTTGTCAAATTTAGTGGGGTCCAGTGATGGTTTCTTCAACAGCGGTTTTATAATTGCTTGTTTTAAGCACGCTGGAATCTTGCCTTCCCAAAGGGAGGCGTTAACCACCACCGTTACCCACTCAGCCAATCCCCCTCTGGCCTCCTTCAGAAGCCAGGATGGGCAGGGGTCTAGGATGGACGTGGTGGGCCTCATTCCTCCAAGTATCTTGTCCACATCCTCGGGTTTCACAAACTGAAAAGAATCCATCAAAACAGGACAAGCAGGTGCTTGTGTCACATCCACAGAGACTGCATTTAATGTGGCGTCCAGCCAGAACGGATCAAAGCGACTTTGTCTGCAAAGAACCGAGCAAATGCTTCACAGCGCGTGTCCGAATTGTCAGGGCTCCCGCCTGAGGTGGCGGGAGTTAAAAGACCTCTGACAATCCGAAACAACTCCGCCGGACGGTTTTTTGCAGACGCAATAGTGGCCGCAAAGAAAGTTTTCTTTGCGGCTTTTATTGCCGCGGCATATGCCCTTAGAAAGGACACAAACCGTGTTCGATTTGACTCGCTTGGGTCTGAACGCCACACGCTCTCCAGTTCCCTCTTCCTTCGCTTCATCACTGCCAGCTCCTCAGTAAACCAAGGAGCTGGTTTAGCTCGGTTACTTGAGAGGGGACGTTCCGGAGCGATCCTGTCAATTGCCCTGGTCATCCCCCCATTCCAGAGAGCGACCAAGGCCTCGACATGGTCACCTACCGAGGTGGCGGGAAAATCCCCAAGAGCCGTCAGGAATCCATTCGGATCCATAAGCCTCCTGGGGCGGACCAACTTAATGGGTCCTCCACCTTTGCGGAGGTCAGGGGGCGCAGTGAGCCTAAATCTGATCAGGAAGTGGTCAGTCCATGGCAACGGAGAGATCGACAACTCCTCCACACCGCCACCCTGCTCCCATCCCTGGCAGAAAACCAAGTCCAATGTGTGTCCAGCACAGTGGGTGGGGCCAGTTATTCGTTGGGACAGCCCCATGGTTGCCATGGCAGACATGAAGTCCTGAGCCGCTCCTGTGAGGGTCGCCTCGGCATGGATGTTGAAGTCCCCCAGCACAAGAAGCCGTTGGGACTCCACCGCCAGGCTCGAGACCACCCCCGCTAGCTCAGGTAGGGAGACTGTAGTGCAGCGAGGTGGACGGTACACTAACAGAATCCCTATTCTGTCCCGGTCACCCACCCTCAGGTGGACGCATTCAAAATTTGAGGTCTGCGGGATGGGGCTCCTGATCAGATGGATGGAATCTTTGTAGATACTCTTACTTTCCTTAGTCCTCTTTGCAGATACTCTTACTTGCTTTAGTCCTCTTTGTAGATACTCTTACTTACTTACTTTAGTCCTCTTTGCAGATATTCTTACTTATTTTAGTCCTCTTTCTAGATACTTTTTCTTACTTCCTTTAGTCCTCTTTGCAGATACTCTTACTTACATTAATCTTCTTTGTAGATACTCTTCCTTTAGCCCTCTTTGCAGATACTCTTACTTATTTTAGTCCTCTTTGCAGATTTAACAATTTTATTTATTATTATTATCAGACTGACTCTAAAACGCTGGAGCTGCCCATTGGGGCTTTCTGATCCTGAGCACTGCATTCTGGGAAATGTAGTTCAGGGCAGGGCCTTTTGCATTCTCTGCAACAGGGGGCCTCGCCTTCCCAAACTACATTTCCCAGAATGCTGTGTTCTCTGTCTCCCACCCATTAACTTTGCCAGTCCTGTCCGCAGTGCCTTCCTTATGGCAATTGGGCCAAAGAAAAAGGATTGGTTTACGAAATACTTACGAAATACTTTTGGCTTTACAAAAGTTGCTGAAAATCAAACTGACCTTGGGAGGTAATCCAAATGTTACAGAATATTAACGAAAAAGATTGGGGAGTGTTTCGATACTTAATTCCCCCCCCCCCACCTTTCCTGCATGTTTTTTATATCGATTCGTATGCAAAAAAATTAATGAATTTGTTACAAAATATGAAAGAATAACAATAATTTTGCACACATCTACTATATAAATATTCCAATATTTTCCTCCAGATTCCTTTTGGCATCAGTTCAGCCGTCAGCGTCCAAGTGGGAAACGCCTTAGGAGCGGGAAATATAGAAGAGGCCCGGAAATCCTCCGTGGTCGCCATTATATGCGCAGGTAGATATTATTGTTAATTATTATTATTATATTATATTATTATTATTATGTTATTGGAAGAGAAGGCGGTGAAGAAGGAGGAAGAGAAGAAAAACAAGAAGAAACAGGAAAATATAGAAGAGAACATCAAGAAGGAGAACATGAACAAGTTGAACAAAGTGAAAAAGAACTTAGAGGATCAACAAGAAGAACGAAAAGAATGACAGGAAGAAATAGAAGAAAAAGAACAAGAAGAACAACAACACGAAGAGGATGGAAAAAGAGAGGATGAAGAAGGAGAAAATGGAGGAGGAGGAGAAGAACAACGAGAAGAAACAAAATGGAGAAGAACAAGAACAAAGTGAAAAAGAACAGGATAAACAAGAAGAAATAGATGGAAAAGGAACAAGAAGAACAACAACACGAAGATGAAGAAGATGGAAAAAGAGAGGATGAAGAAAGAGAAAATGGAGGAGGACAAGAACAACAAGAAGAAACAAAATGGAGAAGAACAAGAACAAAGTGAAAAAGAACTAGATAAACAAGAAGAAATAGATGGAAAAGGAACAAGAAAAACAACAACACGAAGATTAAGAAGATGGAAGAGGAGGAGGTGAGGAAGGAGAAGATAAAAAGGTGGAAGAGGACAAGAACAAAGTGAAAAAGAACTAGATAAACAAGAAGAAATAGATGGAAAAGGAACAAGAAGAACAACAACACGAAGATGAAGAAGATGGAAAAAGAGAGGATGAAGAAAGACAAAATGGAGGAGGACAAGAACAACAAGAAGAAACAAAATGGAGAAGAACAAGAACAAAGTGAAAAATAACAAGATAAAGAAGAAGAAATAGAAGGAAAAAAGAACAAGAAAAACAACAACACGAAGATTAAGAAGATGGAAAAAGAGGGAGCGAGGAAGGAGAAAATGGAGGAGGAGGATGACAAGAACAACGAGAAGAAACAAAATGGAGAAGAACAAGAACAAAGAGAAAAAGAACAAGATAAAAAAGAAGAAATAGAAGGAAAAAAGAACAAGAAAAACAACAACATGAAGATGAAGAAGAACTAGGAGGAAGAGGAAGAGGAAGACAAGAAGATCAAGAAGAAACAAAAAAAAGAGAAGAAGAAGAAGAAGAAATAGAAGAAGTGGAGGAGGACGAGGAAGAGGGATGATATTTTATGTTTATCCCCAACTTCCAGTTGTCCGTCTCGCCACTGGATGCTGGGAGTTGTAGTCCGAACAGAAATTAACCGGTGACGTCTTCCTGTGTCTGTGTGACTCTTTCTTCCCCGCAGCGTTCTTTGTCTTCCTGATGTGCATCATCATGACGGCCACCAAGGACGTCCTGGCGTACATCTTTACGAGCGACGCGTGAGTGACAATTCAATACGTCTGATTCATTAACAAATAAATACTCATTCCTCCCTGATGGTGACCCCCCTTCTTTCCTTCGTTACAGAGAGGTGATTGAGCTGGTGGCCTGGGTGATGCCCGTCTATATCACCTTCCACCTCTTCGAGGCCCTCTCCGTACGTATCTCCGCCAGTGAAAGGATTACTTCCTTTACTCCTCTTTGCAGAAACTATTACTTCCTTAAGTCCTCCTTGCAGATACTATTACTTACTTCCTTTAGTCCTTCTTGCAGATACTATTACTTCCTTTAGTCCTATTTGCAAATAATATTACTTCCTTTACTCTTCTTTGCAGAAACTATTACTTAGTCCCCTTTGCAGATACTATTACTTACTTCCTTTAGTCCTTCTTGCAGATACTATTACTTCCTTTAGTCCTATTTGCAAATACTATTACTTCCTTTACTCTTCTTTGCAGAAACTATTACTTAGTCCCCTTTGCAGATACTATTACTTACTCCTTTAGTCCTTCTTGCAGATACTATTACTTCCTTTAGTCCTATTTGCAAATACTATTACTTCCTTTACTCTTCTTTGCAGAAACTCTTACTTCCTTTAGTCCTCTTTGCAGAAACTATTACTTACTTCCTTTAGTCCCCTTTGCAGAAACGATTACTTACTTCCTTTAGTCCTTCTTGCAGATACTATTACTTCCTTTAGTCCTATTTGCAAATACTATTACTTCCTTTAATCCTCTTTGCAGAAACTATTACTTACTTACTTTAGTCCTCTTTGCAGATACTATTACTTACCTTAGTCCTCTTTGCAGAAACTATTACTTACTTACTGTAGTCCTCTTTGCAGGTACTATTACTTACTTTAGTCCTCTTTGAAGATACTATTACTTACTTACTTTAGTCCTCTTTGCAGATACTATTACTTCCTTTAGTCCTCTTTGCAAATACTATTACTTACTTTAGTCCTCTTTGCAGAAACCGTTACTTATTTAAGTCCTCTTTGCAGATACTATTACTTCCTTTAGTCCTCTTTGCAGGTACTATTACTTACTTTAATCCTCTTTGCAGAAACTATTACTTACTTACTTTAGTCCTCTTTGCAGATACTATTACTTACCTTGGTCCTCTTTGCAGAAACTATTACTTACTTACTTTAGTCCTCTTTGCAGATACTATTACTTACTTCCTTTAGTCCTTCTTGCAGATACTATTACTTCCTTTAGTCCTATTTGCAAATACTATTACTTCCTTTAATCCTCTTTGCAGAAACTATTACTTACTTACTTTAGTCCTCTTTGCAGATACTATTACTTACCTTAGTCCTCTTTGCAGAAACTATTACTTACTTACTGTAGTCCTCTTTGCAGGTACTATTACTTACTTTAGTCCTCTTTGAAGATACTATTACTTACTTACTTTAGTCCTCTTTGCAGAAACTGTTACTTATTTAAGTCCTCTTTGCAGATACTATTACTTCCTTTAGTCCTCTTTGCAGGTACTATTACTTACTTTAATCCTCTTTGCAGAAACTATTACTTACTTACTTTAGTCCTCTTTGCAGATACTATTACTTACCTTAGTCCTCTTTGCAGAAACTATTACTTACTTACTGTAGTCCTCTTTGCAGGTACTATTACTTACTTACTTTAGTCCTCTTTGAAGATATTACTTACTTACTTTAGTCCTCTTTGCAGATACTATTACTTACTTTAGTCCTCTTTGCCGAAAGTATTACTTACTTACTGTAGTCCTCTTTGCAGGAACTATTACTTACTTACTTTAGTCCTCTTTGCAAATACTATTACTTGCTTTAGTCCTCTTTGCAGATAGTATTACTTACTTTAGTCCTCTTTGTGATACTACTACTTACTTACTTTAGTCCTCTTTGGAGATACTATTACTTACTTACTTTAGTCCTCTTTGCAGATACTATTACTTGCTTTAGTCCTCTTTGCAGATAGTATTACTTACTTTAGTCCTCTTTGCAGAAACTATTACTTACTTACTTTAGTCCTCTTTGCAGATACTATTACTTACCTTGGTCCTCTTTGCAGAAACTATTACTTACTTACTGTAGTCCTCTTTGCAGGTACTATTACTTACTTACTTTAGTCCTCTTTGAAGATAATATTACTTACTTACTTTAGTCCTCTTTGGAGATACTATTACTTACTTCCTTTAGTCCTTCTTGCAGATACTATTACTTCCTTTAGTCCTATTTGCAAATACTATTACTTCCTTTAATCCTCTTTGCAGAAACTATTACTTACTTACTTTAGTCCTCTTTGCAGATACTATTACTTACCTTAGTCCTCTTTGCAGAAACTATTACTTACTTACTGTAGTCCTCTTTGCAGGTACTATTACTTACTTTAGTCCTCTTTGAAGATACTATTACTTACTTACTTTAGTCCTCTTTGCAGAAACTGTTACTTATTTAAGTCCTCTTTGCAGATACTATTACTTCCTTTAGTCCTCTTTGCAGGTACTATTACTTACTTTAATCCTCTTTGCAGAAACTATTACTTACTTACTTTAGTCCTCTTTGCAGATACTATTACTTACCTTAGTCCTCTTTGCAGAAACTATTACTTACTTACTGTAGTCCTCTTTGCAGGTACTATTACTTACTTACTTTAGTCCTCTTTGAAGATATTACTTACTTACTTTAGTCCTCTTTGCAGATACTATTACTTACTTTAGTCCTCTTTGCCGAAAGTATTACTTACTTACTGTAGTCCTCTTTGCAGGAACTATTACTTACTTACTTTAGTCCTCTTTGCAAATACTATTACTTGCTTTAGTCCTCTTTGCAGATAGTATTACTTACTTTAGTCCTCTTTGTGATACTACTACTTACTTACTTTAGTCCTCTTTGGAGATACTATTACTTACTTACTTTAGTCCTCTTTGCAGATACTATTACTTGCTTTAGTCCTCTTTGCAGATAGTATTACTTACTTTAGTCCTCTTTGTGATACTACTACTTACTTACTTTAGTCCTCTTTGCAGATACTATTACTTACTTACTTTAGTCCTCTTTGCAGATACTATTACTTACTCCCTTTAGTCCTCCTTGCAGATACTATTACTTATTTCCTTTAGTCTTCTTTGCAGAAACTATTACTTCCTTTAGTCCTCTTTGCAGATACTATTACTTACTTACTTACTTTAGTCCTCTTTGTAAATACTATTACTTACTTCCTTTAGTCCTCTTTGCAGAAACTATTACTTACATACTTAAGTCCTCTTTGCAGAAACTATTACTTACTTACTTTAGTCCTCTTTGCAGAAATTATTACTTACTTTAGTCCTCTTTACAGATACTATTACTTACTTACTTTAGTCCACTTTCCAGATACTCTTACTTACTTACAAGGAAAGCAACATGGCCAAATTCTATAGGAATATCAATTCTCTCTCTCTCGTTCGCAGGCCACAACCAGCGGTATTCTGAGGGGGACTGGGAAACAAAAACTCGGCGCCATCTTCAACGCCGTTGGCTACTATGCCATTGGCTTGCCAGTGGGCGTCGTGTTGATTTTTGTGGCCAAAATCGGACTGATAGGTAACTCAATTTGTGGCATTCGAACCCGGAGCACGAGGCCCATCCATAGCACCCTTAAAGCAGAATTTGAACTGTGTCCATAGGAAGAATAGCACTACGTTGCGTTGTAATAGATGGCAATAGAAAATTGTATTTGTATGCACAAATTTAATTAATTTGTTACAAAATACAAAAGAATAACAATAATTTTGCACACACCCACTATATAAATATTCCAATACTTTGCTCCAGATTCCTTTTGGTACAATTTTCTATTGCCATCTATTGTTCAGAGAGAGAATTGCACTAATTTTCATTCCAATATAACAGTCCTAGTCTCTATTGACATCTAGTGGTCCATAGAAAGAATAGCACTGTATTGTATACTAATAGAATAAACTAACTGCTATTCTCTATCGCCATCTATTGACCATAGAAAAAAAACACTCAGTTGTATTCTAATAGAACAGTACTAGTCTCTATTGACATCTATTGACCATAGAAAGAATAGCACGGTATTGTATTCTAATAGAATAAACTAACTGCTATTCTCTATCTACTGACCATAGAAAGAATAGCACTGTATTGTGTAATAATAGACTAGTATTAGTCTCTGTCGCCATCTATTGACCATAGAAAGAAAGCACTCCATTGTATTCTAATAGAAGACTACTAGTCTCTATCGCCATCTGTTGACCATAGAAAGAATAGCACCCCAGTGTATTCTAATAGAGCAGGCTAAGTGCTATTCTCTATCGCCTTCTATTGAACATAAAAAGAATAGCACTGTATTGTATTCTAATAGAATAATCTAAGTGCTATTCTCCATCACCATCTATTGACCATAGAAAGAATAGCACTGTATTGTATTCTAATAGAATAAAGTAAGTGCTAGTCTCTATCGCCATCTATAGACCATAGGAAGAATAACACTGTGTTGTGTAATAATAGAATAGTATTAGTCTCTATCGCCATATGTTGACCATAGAAAGAATAGAATGCCAATGTATTTTAATTGACTAGACTAAGTGCTAGTCTCTATCGCCATCTATTGACCATATAAAGAATAGCACTGTGTTGTATTCTAATAGAAGAGTACTAGTCTCTATCGCCATCTGTTGACCATAGAAAGAATAGCACTGTATTGTATTCTAATAGAATAAATGAAATGCGAGTCTCTATCGCCATCTATTGACCATATAAAGAATAGCACTCCAATGTATTTTAATTGACTACCTTTACCTTTTAGACTAAGTGCTATTCTCTATCGCCATCTATTGACCATAGAAAGAATAGCACTGTGTTGTGTTCTAATAGAACAGTACTAGTCTCTATCGCCACCTGTTGACCATAGAAAGAATAGCACTGTGTTGTGTAATAATAGAATAGCATTAGTCTCTATTGCCATGTTGACCATAGAAAAAATAGCACTGTATTGTATTCTAATAGACTAGACTAAGTGCTAGTCTCTATCGCCATCTGTTGACCATATAATGAATAGCACCGTGTTGTGTAATAATAGAACAGTATTAGTCTCTATCGCCATCTATTGACCATAGAAAGAATAGCATTGTATTGTATTCTAATAGACTAGACTAAGTGCTATTCTCTATCGCCATCTGTTGACCATAGAAAGAATAGCACTGTGTTGTATTCTAATAGAACAGTATTAGTCTCTATCGCCATCTGTTGACCATAGAATGAATAGCACTGTATTGTATTCTAATAGAAGAGTACTAGTCTCTATCGCCATCTGTTGACCATAGAAAGAATAGCACTCTATTGTATACTAATAGAATAAAATAAGTGCTAATCTCTATCGCCATCTATTGACCAAAGAAAGAAAAGCATTCTGTTGCATTCTAATAGAATAAACGAAAACGAGTCTCTATCGCCATCTATTGACCATAGAAAAATTGCACTGTGTTGTGTAATAATATAATAGTATTAGTCTCTATCGCCATCTGTTGACCATAGAAAGAATAGCACTCTATTGTATTCTAATAGAATAAATGAAATGCGAGTCTCTATCGCCATCTATTGACCATAGAAAGAATAGCACTGTGTTGTGTTCTAATAGAACAGTATTAGTCTCTATCGCCATCTGTTGACCATAGAAAGAATAGCATTCTGTTGCATTCTAATGGAACAGACTCAGTGCTAGTCTCTATTGCCATCTAGTGGCCGATATAAATATAGGTTTTCATAAGGATGCAGAGCGTCTTCCTTTAAGCCAGGGCTCAGTATGTCCCACGTGTTTGGACTACAACTCCCAGAATTCCGCCTCCTTCTCCTTTTCCTCCCCAAGGGCTTTGGGTCGGGATGCTGGTTTGCGCCCTGATTCCCGCCACATTCTCCATCGCCTACATTGCCAAGATGAACTGGAAGCAGGTGGCCGAGGAGGTGAGAGGCTGCTCTTGGACTCCGAGTCCTATCGTCCCCATTCACCCACCCTTGGCAAGCTCTACAATATGGGTTTTTCCTCAACTGTAGGCCCAGCACCGCGCAGGATTGACTCAGAAGCCGGCGGCGGTGACGACGGAGGACTCGAATTCGGCTCCTGGCCCAACAAAAATGGCACCCTCCATTGTTTGCACAGACGGCAGCCATCTATCTGGTACAGTCATAATGGGACTACAACTCCCAGCATTCCTTAAGCCTTGGCTTCGGAGTGGCTTTCACCGTAGCCAGACTACAACTCCTTAGTTTGGGGGGGGGCTCGTTAGGGTTGGAGTACAACTCCCAGCATCACTTAGGGGATGATGGGACTCATAGTCTCACTACATCTAGAAGGGCAGACTACAACTCCTTAGTTTGGAGGGGGGCCCGCGTTAGGGTTGGACTACAACTCCCAGCATCGCTTAGGTCAGAGGATGATGGGACTTGTAGTGTCACTACATTTAGAAGGGCAGACTACAACTCCTTAGTTTGGAGGGGGGCCCTCGTTAGGGTTGGACTACAACTCCCAGCATCGCTTAGCTCAGGGGATGATGGGACTTGTAGTCTCACTACATCTAGAAGGGCCGACTACAACTCCTTAGTTTGGAGGAGGGCCCTTGTTAGGGTTGGACTACAACTCCCAGCATTGCTTAGGTCAGAGGATGATGGGACTTGTAGTCTCGCTGCATCCAGAAGGGCCATAGTTTCCCTTGTTTCTGAGCCATGGATTCGAGTGTCGCAGTACACCTAAAACATAGTGATGGGTTTCCCAGCATTCCTTTAAGGAATGATGGGATTTGTAGTCCCTGTTTCCTTGCTTGCACAGTTTCATGCATTCTAATATTTCTGTTGTAGTAGTAGACCTAAAATTGAAGGGTATCCATCATTCCAGGGGACAATGGGATTTGTAGTCTCGCCGCATACTCCTTTAATACTCCTTTTGTTTGTGCTGTATAGGGCCTGCGGACGCCCCGAACGGAGTGGTGCTGCTGCGCTTCAGCCCGGCGGAAGGGCCGACCTTCCAGGCGGAGGGGACGATGGGCGTTGGAGTCGTGGACCAAGGGCTGAGCAAAAAAGAGCTGCTGGTGCGGCGAGGGCTGGCTGTCGGGGCCGCCTTGGCCATCCTGGCCTTGGGAGTTATAGTCCGCTTCCTCACCATTTAGTTCCATAGGGATCCTGGCCAAAATATGAATCTAGAACCCAGATGTGGTTCTAGATCAGGCGTGGGCAAACTTGGGCCCTCCCTCCAGGTGTTTTGGACTCCAACTTTGTGGGAGTTGGAGTCCAAAACACCTGGAGGGAGGGCCCAAGTTTGCCCACGCCTGATCTAGAACCTGGATTTGGATCTAGAACCCAGATTCGGATCTAGAACTCAGACGGGTTTCTAAAGCCTCTCATTTTGGAGCTAAAGAGCTTCCTTAAACGAGTCCAAAACTGTGACCCCATGAAGACCCCAATCAATCAATCAATCAATCAATCAATCAATCAATCGTGTTTATTCCCAATACGTCGAAACATTTCAAACCAATCCGTATTTATTAAACAGAGAAAACATCCATTTTTTTTGTGCATGGTATAAAATATATTTTTTCTGTAAGTTTATACTCGAGTCTTGTTATATGTATACATATATATATATATAATAAAGGAACAGAAGCAGAAGGGCTCTTGTCACCGTGTGCATCGACTGGTTTGGGGATTACAATGCCCAGAATCCCCTGTTGTTGTTGTTTTCGTGTCAGGAACACTTGAGAAACTGCAAATTGCAGTGAGAGAATTGGCTGTCTGCAAGGACGTTGCCCAGGGGATGTTTCCTGGACGTGTTCCCATCCTGTGGGAGGCTTCTCTCATGTCTTCACATGGGAAGCTGGAGCTGACTGACGAGAGTTCACTCCACAACTTGAGAAACTGCAAGTCGCTTTTGGCATGAGAGAATTGGCTGTCTGCAAGGATGTTGCCCAGATGTGTTACCATCCTGTGGGAGGCTTCTCTCATGTCTTCACATGGGAAGCTGGAGCTGACAGACGGGAGCTCACTCCACAACTTGAGAAACTGCAAGTCGCTTTTGGTGTGAGAGAATTGGCTGTCTGCAAGGATCTTGCCCAGATGTGTTACCATCCTGTGGGAGGCTTCTCTCATGTCTTCACATGGGAAGCTGGAGCTGACAGACGGGAGCTCACCCCACAACTTGAGAAACTGCAAATTGCTTCTGGTGTGAGAGAATTGGCTGTCTTCAAGGATGTTGCCCAGATGTGTTACCATTCTTTTGAAGGCTTCTCTCATGTCTTCACATGGGGAGCTGGAGCTGACAGACGGGAGCTCACCCCACTACTTGAGAAACTGCAAGTCGCTTCTGGTGTGAGAGAATTGGCTGTCTTCAAGGATGTTGCCCAGATGTGTTACCATTCTTTTGAAGGCTTCTCTCATGTCTTCACATGGGGAGCTGGAGCTGACAGACAGGAGCTCACCCCACTACTTGAGAAACTGCAAGTCGCTTCTGGTGTGAGAAGCCCTCCTGGCCCACAGCCAACGAACGTATAGTTTTGCTACACAACCCCAGGAGATCTAGTTTTCCAAGTGTCCAAACCAAATAGTGCTGGTGACATTGCCAGGCTACAATTCCCAGGATCCCACAATGCAAGCCGGCCTGGCTTTGGTTCCAACCGGTTTGCTTTCCTGCCTAGGGCCCATGGCTCAGTGCAATGGAATCCTGGGAGTTGTAGTTTTGCAAGGGCTTTTCTGTGAATCACACCCCACTGCAATGGGATAAGGAAGTCATGTTTTGGCACCACTTGCAATTGCCGTGGCTCCGTGCTGTGGTCCACTGGGATTTGTAGTTTGCCCTGGTCCCATTGCTCTCTGATAGGGGACAGTGCTGTGTGACCCTCCCACTTGAACTTCCATGGCTCAGTAATAATCTTGAGCCGTGGACGTTGCTACCACTAGTCATAACAATAATAGATGATTTAAAATAATAATAATAATAATAATAATAATAATAATAATAACAATGGTATATCATCCTGGGAATGGAGCCATGGCAATTTTGAATACAGTAATAATAATAATAATCTTGGGCCATGGACGTTACTACCACTAGTCATAACAATAATTTTAACAATAAGCATTGAATTTTGCCATTAGTAAAGGTAGTCCCCTGACATTAGGTCCAGTCATGTCTGACTCTGGGACTCTGGTGCTCATCTCCATTTCTAAGCCAAAGAGCCAGCGTTGTCCGTAGACACCTCCAAGGTCATGTGGCCATTGGCATGACTGCATGGGGCGCCCTTACCTTCCCGCCGGAGCGGTACCTATTGATCTACTCACATTTGCATGTTTTCGAACTGCTAGGTTGGCAGAAGCTAGGGCTGACAGCGGAAGCTCACGCCGCTCCCCGGAATCGAACCTGCGACCTTTCGATCAACAAGCTCAGCAGCCCAGTGCTTTAACCCACTGCGCCACCATTTTGCCATTATCTATGTGTAAACTGCTATGATAATAATATAATATAATTTTAATAATATAATATAATTTAAAATAATATAATTTTCTCACCCTAGGGGTGAGAAAAGCGGTATGTAAATACTGTAAATAATAATAATAATAATATTCTAATTTTTTTTGTCGTGTCAGGAGCGACTTGAGAAACTGCAAGTTGCTTCTGGTGTGGGAGAATTGGCCGTCTGCAAGGACGTTGCCCAGGGGACGCCCGGATGATTGTTATGTTTTCTCATCCTTGTGGGAGGCTTCTCTCATGTCCCCGCATGAGGAGCTGGAGCTGATAGAGGGAGCTCATCCGCTCTCCCCGGATTCGAACCTGCGACCTGTCGGTCAGCAGTCCTGCTGGCACAAGGGTTTAACCCACTGCACCACTGGGGGCTCCAATAATAATAATAATAATAATAATAATAATAATAATAATAATAGCATTGAATTTTGCCATTATCTATGTGTAAACTGCATTGATAACAATATAATGTAATTTTAATAATATAATATAATTTAAAATAATATAATTTTCTCACCCTAGGGGTGAGAAAAGCGGTATGTAAATATTGTAAATAATAATAATAATAATAATAGTAATGAATTTTGCCATTATGTATGTGTAAACTGCTTTGATAATAATATAATATTAATAATATAATATAATTTAAAATAATATATTTTTCTCACCCCAGGGGTAAGAAAAGCGGTATATAAATACTGTAAATAATAATAATAATAATAATAATAATAATAATAGTAATGAATTTTGCCATTATGTATGTGTAAACTGCTTTGATAATAATATAATATTAATAATATAATATAATTTAAAATAATATATTTTTCTCACCCTAGGGGTAAGAAAAGCGGTATATAAATACTGTAAATAATAATAATAATAATAATAATAATATTCTAATAATATTCTATTCTATTTTAGTCTAATAATATGTTATATTATATAGTTATATAATATTATAATAATATGTGCTATCCTAATAATATGTTATAATATAATATATAATATATTGTGTATACATATAATATTTATAATATTGTAATGTAATGCAATATAATACTACTACTAATAATAATAATATGACATTATAATTATATATTTATATTACATGTAATATTACTAATAATATTACGGTATAATTGATATAGAGTGCAATATAGAAATATTTAAAACTGATATTGTACTATGTTAATAATATATTGTATGTATATATACCTTGTAAGCCGCTCTGAGTCCCCTTCGGGGTGAGAGGGGCGGCATATCAATGTCGCAAATAAATAAATAAACAAACAAACAAACAAACAAACAAATAAATACTTTCCCACTTTACTTTGTCATATGGAGGTGCATTTTCCCCCTCTGGCCACACGATGGCAGCGGAGAGGCGCCTCCACGGTTCGCAGGCCGCACTTCCGCACTTGGCCACTGGATGGCGGCAAAGGACTGCAGATCCGAATCTCCAGGCAAGTGCAATATCCTCGTTCCCGCCAGAGGGCAGCCAAGGTCCAGATAGGCAGCCGTGGCGAGCGACAGAGGGAAACGGCGGGCCAATCAGAGCCCTGGAGCCGGCCAGCGCGAGTCCTGCCGCCCAATCAGGAGCCGAGAGGGGCTCCTCGAGCCAATGGGGGCGCGCGTTGCAAAAGGACACCGCTCAAGGCCCCTCCCGACGCAAGAGGCGGGGCTGCGGATTGGACGAGAGAGAGAGAGAGAGAGAGAGAGAGAGAGAGAGAGAGAGAGAGAGAGAGGCAGCCAGGCGCGTCTGGACGGGAGGGTTAGCCCGCATTGGTCGCGGGAGAGCGCTCGGAAGGGGAGCTCCAGGCCTGACGACGCAGAAGGAAGGTAGCCCGGCTCTGGCCTTGTTCATATCGCGTCATTAGAATACATTTAATAGGAATGTTGTCATTGGCCACTTTGATTCGCATTGAAAGGCCTTGCAGCTTCAAAGCCTGGCTGCTTCCTGCCTGGGGAGGGGAATCCTTTATTGGGAGGTGAGAGAAAGGCCTCTTGGCTGTTGGAGGCCAGTCTGAATGTTGCCATTGGCCAGCTTGATTAGCACTGAAAGGCCTTGCAGCTTCAAAGCCTGGCTGCTTCCTGTCTGGGGCAGGTGTTAGCTGGCCCTGATTGTTTCCTGCCTTTTTATTTACTGTTCTGATTCTATATATTAATGGAGGCAGGTGTCAATGTTGCCATTGGTCAGCTTGATTAGCATTGAATTGCCTTGCAGCTTCAAAGCCTGGCTGCTTCCTGCTTGAGGGTGGGAATCCTTTGTTGGGAGGTGGGAGAAAGGCCTCTTGCCTGTTGGAGGCCAGTCTCAATGTTGCCATTGGCCACCTTGATTAGCATTAAATGGCCTTGCAGCTTCAAAGCCTGGCTGCTTCCTGCGGGGAATCCTTTGTTGGGAGGTGGGAGAAAGAAAGACCTCTTGTCTGTTGGAGGTAGGTGTGAATGTTGCCATTGGCCACCTTGATTAGCATTGAGTGGCCTTGCAGCTTCAAAGCCTGGCTGATTCCTGCCTGGGGGAGGTGTTAGCTGGCCCTGATTGTTTCCTGCCTCTTTATTTACTGTCCTGGTTCTATATATTTTTGGAGGTAGGTGTGTATGTTGCCATTGGCCACCTTGATTAGCATTGAGTGGCCTTGCAGCTTCAAAGCCTGGGGGCATCCTTTGTTGGGAGGTGTTAGCTGGCCCTGATTGTTTCTTGCCTGGAATCCCCCCATTTTCAGAGTGTGCCTTTTTATTTGCTGTCCTGATTTTAGAGATTCTAGAGGTAGGTATGAAAGTTGCCATTGGCCACCTTGATTAGTATTGAATGGCCTTGTATCTTCAAAGCCTGGCTGATTCCTGCCAGGGGGAGGTGTTAGCTGGCTCTGATTGTTTCCTCTCTGTTTTCAGGGTGTTCCTTTTTTATTTATTGTCCTGATTCTATATTTTTTTGGAGGCAAGTGGGAATGTTGCCATTGGCCAGCTTGATTAGCATTGAATGGCCTTGCAGCTTCCAAGTCAATCAATGAGGGGAATCTGCACAGAGGTAGCCTGGCCTTTGTTGCCTGGAGGCACCCTCTGTGGAATCATGTCCAGGGTGGGAGGAAGAAAGAACTCTTGTCTGTTGGAGGCAAGTCTGAATGTTGCCCTTGGCCTCCTTGATTAGCACTGAATGGCCTTGCAGCTTCAAAGCCTGGTTGCTTCCTGCTTGGGGGGGGATCCTTTGTTGGGAGGTGGGAAAAAGGCCTCTTGCCTGTTGGAGGCAAGTGGGAATGTTCCACAGAAAGATAGATAGATAGATAGATAGATAGATAGATAGATAGATAGACAAACCCCATTTTCCTAGTTTCTAACAGACCTCACAACCTCTGAGGATGCCTGCCATAGATGTGGGCAAAACGTCAGGAGAGAATGCTTCTGAAACATGGCCATATAGCCCGGAAAACTCATTCTAGACATGAACGCCTTCGACCACGCATATATTATAATTATAGCATATTTAATATATTATTACATTGATAATCATGTGTGTCTTAATATAGAATGTATTTATAATAGATTTAATGCAGAATATCTTTGTAAATAATTAATGTACGATCGCGTTGAGGACAATATATTAATAATATAAATAATAAAGTCTTCATGATAATACTATTATTTGTTATAATATTTATTATCCAAGAGAGTAGTAATAAAACAAATAATAGTTTATTTTCATGAAGACTAATTAATATTAGCTTATGTAATAGTATATGGGAGTCCTCGGTGGTGCAGCGGGTTAAACCGCTGAGCTGCTGACCTTGCTGACTGAAAGGTTGCCGGTTTGAATTTGCGGGGTAGGGTGAGCTCCTGCTGTTAGACCCAGCTCCTGCCAACCTAGCAGTTTGAAAGATCGCTGGTTCGAATCTGTGGGGCAGGGTGAGCTCCTGCTGTTAGCCCCAGCTCCTGCCAACCTAGCAGTTTGAAGTTCGCTGGTTCGAATCTGGGGGACAGGGTGAGCTCCTGCTGTTAGCCCCAGCTCCTGCCAACCTAGCAGTTTGAAAGGTCGCTGGTTCAAATCTGCAGGGCAGGGTGAGCGCCTGCTGTTAGCCCCAGCTCCTGCCAACCTAGCAGTTCGAAAACATGCAAATGTGAGTAGAGCAATAGGTACTGCTTCAGGGGGAAGGTAACAGTGCTCCATGCAGCCATGCTGGCCACATGACCTTGGAGGCGTCTACGGACAACACTTGTTCTTTGGCTTAGAAATATTATTTTATAATAATAAGATAGTTTAAATTATTATTATTATTATTATTATGGACATGACTGGAATTAATTCCAGTCGTGTCAATAATAATAATAATAATAATAATAATAATAATAATAATGTCAGGAGAAAACGGTTACCTTTACCTAATATAATTATTCGAACTCAGGTCTCCCACTAAACACAAGATCAGCATATTGTTTCCCATTATTTTTTATGATTTTAAGTATTATTTTACAGCAATTCCGTGTTTAATTCTATGTTGATGTTTATAGGCTGTGGGTTATTTAAAGTGTGTATTTGTGTTGTTTTGAATGTTGTTCAAAGGAGGAAGTGGGAGAGAAAGAAACACAACACTAAGATGAATGTTTGTCCTTTGACAGCTGTCGTGTTTGGGATGATATGCAAATCCACAGGTGCAGAGGAGATGGGGATGGCAGGCAGGCAGGTGATCAATAATAATAAGAGATCAATAATAATAATAATATGCAAATCCACGCGATGGAGTTACAGGTGCAGAGGAGATGGGGATGGCAGGCAGGCAGGTGATCAATAATAATAAGAGATCAATAATAATAATAATAATAATATGCAAATCCACGCGATGGAGTTACAGGTGCAGAGGAGATGGGGATGGCAGGCAGGCAGGTGATCAATAATAATAAGAGATCAATAATAATAATAATAATAATAATAATAATAATAATAATATGCAAATTTACGTGATGGAGTTACAGGTGCAGAGGAGACGGGGATGACAGGCAGGCAGGTGGATGATGGAGAAGAGATCAATAATAATAATAATAGTATTTCTTCCCTGACTCTCTTCAAGGCTGGTTTCTACATAGGTATACATACATAAACACACATATTAAGACATAACTCTATAAAATCCATATTCAAATATGCAGAAGACACGATGAGAGTATAATATTTAGGATGATAGATGAATGGAGGAGTTTTATAGAGGGATGATTCATGAAGGGAGGATTGATGGATAGGTGGATGGATAATGGACAGATGGATGGATGGATGGTGGATGATCGACAGATGATTGAGAAATGGATGGTGGATGGATGGGAAGATGGAGGATAGATAAAAGGACGATAGACAAATGGGTGATGACAGATTGAAGGATTGTAGACGGATGATAGATGATGGATGGATGATAGATGGATGAGATGATGGACGGATGATAGACAAATGGGTGATAGATTGATGATAGACAGATGATAGATGATGGATGGATGATAGATGGATGAGATGATGGACAGATAGGCAAATGGGTGATAGATTGATGATGATAGATGATGGATGGATGATAGATGGATGAGATGATGGACGGATGATAGACAAATGGGTGACAGATTGATGATAGACAGATGATAGATGATGGATGGATGATAGATGGATGAGATGATGGAAAGATGATAGACAAATGGGTGATAGATTGATGATGATAGATGATGGATGGATGATAGATGGATGAGATGATGGACGGATGATAGACAGATGGATGATAGATGGATGAGATGATGGACAGATGATAGATGATGGATGGATGATAGATGGATGAGATGATGGACGGATGATAGACAAATGGGTGATAGATTGATAATAGACAGATGATAGATGATGGATGGATGATAGATGGATGAGATGATGGACAGATGATAGGCAAATGGGTGACAGATTGATGATAGACAGATGATAGATGATGGATGGATGATAGATGGATGAGATGATGGACGGATGATAGACAAATGGGTGATAGATTGATAATAGACAGATGATAGATGATGGATGGATGATAGATGGATGAGATGATGGACAGATGATAGGCAAATGGGTGACAGATTGATGATAGACAGATGATAGATGATGGATGGATGATAGATGGATGAGGTGATGGACAGATGATAGACAAATGGGTGATAGATTGATGATGATAGATGATGGATGGATGATAGATGGATGAGATGATGGACGGATGATAGACAAATGGGTGACAGATTGATGATAGACAGATGATAGATGATGGTTGGATGATAGATGGATGAGATGATGGACAGATGATAAACAAATGGGTGACAGTTGGATGATAGACAGATGATAGATGATGATTGGATGATAGATGGATGAGATAATGGACGGTGATAGATGATGGATGGATGATAGATGGATGAGATGATGGACGGTGATAGATGATGGATGGATGATAGATGGATGAGATGATGGACGGATGATAGATGATGGATGGATGATAGATGGATGAGATGATGGACAGATGATAGACAAATGGGTGATAGATTGATGATGATAGATGATGGATGGATGATAGATGGATGAGATGATGGACGGATGATAGACAAATGGGTGACAGATTGATGATAGACAGATGATAGATGATGGATGGATGATAGATGGATGAGATGATGGA